ATATCTTTTGATAGCTACGCACCATCAGCTTTCTTCACATTTGCTTATGCACCCATTTTGTCTTCAGTGATCATGTCAGGGAAGGTGATCACTGATTGTCAAATTATTCGAACAAAGTGTTCTTGCATTGAGTTGAGTATTTGAGTAGAGGCCCAGTGCCCACCCACCTTAATACTTAATGCATAAATATATGTATAGACCTATTTCCCCGTTTTATATACATTTACATATGTACATTACTGCATTTAGATCTCTGTTAATGTCCTTTGCCTCCTAGTTCTTTCCTCTATTTTCTTTTACTTTTCTCTTGTCGCATTATCATGTTCAACCTTCCTTCAGCTTCCATTAATTCCTCTTGGCTACATTGCACTTGATCAAGCTCCACCAGACATCCTTTGCCCTCCTCGTCATCGAATTTAGGTCACTTGTTCCCCTGCCCCTGGCTTTGTTGGTTACCCCCCTTCCTTTTGCCTACCTCCCCCTCCTCGGTGCCACCCCCAATCACTGGGTTCCCCGGATTGATGATTCCGCCTATCTTATCTAGAGAGACATGCAAAACCAATAATAAACACAAAAACAAAGCAACAACAAAAAACAAACCAAACAACCACGACAAAGAAAAGCCTATACATCATTTCATGACTGTTTGTTGACCTATTTGAGTGTTTTCTGGACAAGTCTGATGAGGTGCCACACCCTGCCCCGAAGTCTATTTTTGGGATTCCTTGGGGATGTTGATTTGCTCCACTTGCTGCTCTGTTGAATGCCTTTAGTGTTTCGCCTTGGTGTGGTGCGGGTGTCAGATTGGGCACAATTCCCGCACTGTGTCTCCAGTGTTGTCCCCCGCATCGCTATGCGTCAGTAAGGGACATTGTGTCTTGTGGTGGGGCCGGTCCTATAGTCCACTGTGCTCTTGCTGCTCCAAGCAGAAATACCGTCCGTCCTCGGGGTTTGGTGGGCCAGAATGTGCTCCAGTCTCTCTACTTCCTTCTCAGTTTGCTCCTGTGTGCTCTAATCAGATGCACGCCTCTCCCTGAGCTGTAGCTTCAGAGCTGTCCTCTAGTGTATTCTTTCTGGTCTTTCTGGCAGCAGGGGGAGTTCAGGTAGGTGGGATTGGGGCCTGGCCCGCAGACCTCTCTATTGGTTTGCTGCTTCATGCAGGTGTGTTGCATTCATGTCTTGGCGAACTGGGTTGAGGTCTGGTCCCCATCTCCCTCTCCTGTGGAGACAAATACTCTCCCCTGGGGGGGGCGGGGTTGTGAGGGAGCCTTCTCTTCAGATGCCTTTCTACTTTACTAAACATGATGTCCTTCACCAGGGACAGCTTTCTCCTGACTACATGCCCAAATACAGTTTTACCACACTTGCCTCTAAGGAGCACTCTGGTTGTATTTCCTCTAAGACAGGTCTTATGCAGTCTGTAGTATTTAATATTCTTCTCCCATACAACTAAAACACATCAATTCTTCTGTCTTAATTCAATGTCCAACTCTCACATGCATATGAGGCAATTGAAAAAGACTATGGCTTGAGTCAGGCGTATCTTAGACCTCAAAGTAACATCCTTGTTTCCAATACCCTAAAGAGGTCTTGAGCAGATTTACCTAATGCAACGTCTTTGACCTCTTGACTGCTGCTTCCATGAGTATTGATTATGGAACCGAGCAACTTCAACCTTTTATCCATTTATCACGATGCTACCTACTATTGGTCCAGTTGAGGATTTTGTCGTTCTTTACATCCTCACTGAATGTTGCAATTTCTTAGGTCTTAGCCCATCTCTGTCCTCACTTAAGGACCATCTTAAAGGACAGCCAGATTTATACTTCCAATCCAGGGCGCTCCTAATTCATCCAACTGCTACTTTCTAAACAAATCACTTCGATGTTCTTCTGTCACCCGAACTCCTGTGTTTATGCTGGTTAGAAGTACCTCTACTCATCTGCTGGGAGATAGCTTGGAATTTCTTAGATCCAGTAGCCTAAATCTGTAACTTTATCTTTAAATATCCAAAGTTCAAAATCAAATAATCTAGTCCTTGATTTTCTGTGCAGAAATTTCCCCCTGGCAGTAACATAATGGATAGATGAAGTGTTGATGAAGGGAAGGATACTGCAAATCTAACACTGCTCTTAAAACCAGATGGTGCCAATATCAAACATGGCAAAGAAGTCGCGTCAGTATTGGGTCACCTCCAACCTGTTACTCAAAATCCTCAAATAATCTAGGCTCTGTAAGGTGATAAAATCTATTGAAATAGAAAACCCCAGTACTACCTATTCTTTTCTTCCTCTAGGTGTCCTCTGGTATATTTCTGATTCTGTCATATTTGATGTGTACATGAAAGATAGAGGGTAGGCTCACATCTGTGACAGTTAAAGTTTTGTGTCAACTTCACTGGGTCAGAATTCTCAGTGCTTTGACAGTTAAGAAAGACCTAGTAACCGTGGTCTCGAGGGTGTGGTTGGCTTCCAATATAAATGGACACTGTGGAAAAGCTCACTTGCTTTTTGTTGAGTCTGGATCCTGCATCTGGCTTGTCTGCCTCCAGTTTTTTTAACAGCATGCTGTATTGCCGACTGACCTTGGGAGCCATCAGCAACCTGCCAACCTTGGATTCATTATCTTGGGTTTATCAGACTCTACTTATTTGTTTCATGGACTTGGAACTTGCCTGGTCTACAATTGTATGAGTCATTTATTTGATATGAAATATATATATATATTTCTGTCATTGGCTTTGCTTCTCCAGAGAACCCAGGCTAAAAACGCCTGTTTTTAGGAGATGCTAAAGTGAAATGGAAACTTGCATGGTTTAATAATTAGATGCAACAGATTTGCCTGAGAAATAAACACTTCAATTGAGTAAAATTCCTATTATAAAATCTTAATTAATAGTATTTTTAAAGTCCTGTCAATTTCCTACTTTCGAAATGCGACTTAAGATTTTATTTTAAACCGCAAAAGCCCAATTTTTAAATACAGATTTAACTTACATACTAGAAGGAAGTTGAACTGCTTGGAGTTCCTATTTACCTGGTGACAATGAGGAAAGAATATGGTTTTAGTTTCCACTAACTAACATCTGATTTATGTACTGTTGATTAGCTTCTTTATATTTTATATCTGTGCTGATGCAAACGTGTTTAATTATTAAGGTACTCAGGGTACGACTTAATGGGATACAATTATACAAGCAGTAAAAAGAAAACAAATTATTTTGTTTCTGAAATTGGAAAAATACCAATTATAAAAGGATGTCAAATTGATAAAAAACCATTTATGGAGCTAAACTTATCTAATCATACTTTAATGTGGACGTGTTCGATTTCTCTCTCCTCTACTCAGAGAAGCATTAAACTGCTGTGAGCGAGTAAGGTGGCATTCTGTTCCCATAAACATTTACTGCTTCAGAAACCCACAAGGGCAGTTCTACCCTGTTCTATAGGGTTGCTGTGATTGGAATCGACTGGATGGCAGCGAATTTTCAGTTACCCTCTACCCAACAAGCCCTAGTGGCACAGCGTGTTAAGACTGGGACTGCTAATCAAAAAGTTGACTGTTCATACCCATTAGCCACTCATTCCACAGAAGGAAGAGTAAGCAGGCCGCTTCGGTAGTTACAGCCTTGGAAACCCTATGAAGCAAGTCTATTTTGCCCTACAGGGTTACGAATATAAACTACAAGCAGATAGTTTTAGCATTCTTGAAAACTTTGCTTTTTGATAGTTGGTTTATAATTTATTTGCAAAATGCCTTCATTAAAAAAATTCTTAATAACTCTTGGATAGGAAATTTTAACAAGAAATCCAAGTCTCAGAAACCCACAGGAGTAGTTTCACCCTGTCCTGTAGGGTTGCCATGGGTTAAAATAGTGGTTCTCAACCTGTGGGGTTGCCCGATTCATAACAGTACCAAAATTAGTTATGAAGTACTAGTGAAAATAATTTTATGGTTAGGGGGGAGGGGGTCACTACAACATGAGGAACTGTATTAAAGGGTCACAGGATTAGGAAGGTTGAGAACCACTGGGTTAGAATTAACTCAATGAAGGTTGAATTTATTTGTGTACTTGGTTAATGTAATCAGCACAGCATTTCACCAGATAAGATTATAAATTCTCTTCATTTATATTTGTGAGAGTGTATGAGGGTGCTTGAAAAAGCATGTGGAAAAATGAGATAATAGAATTTTCCCACAGACTTTTTAATGCTCTCTTGTACAACTGCATTTACAGTATTCTCTCCTTCATTAGAGCTTCCTGGAAAACTCTTAGACTAGACAATAAAATGAGAACATGTGCCAAATTCTTTAGCAAACAGGCATCAATGAAAGGCATCATTATCGATTTGTTAACATCAATAGTTTGCTAAATTTTACTAGTGATGAGGGATTTGCATCTCTTATCCCCTCAAGTCATCAAGTCACAGAACCAGGCAAGTACAGGATTTTAAAACGGTCTAACTTAAGAAATAAAGCTCTTAATTTACTTGCATTCTAGAATAAACCCCTTCACCTTGAAATGCCCCCCATATAAAACTCTACTAAGTGATGTATTAAGATTTTTCAGCCCAAAGAACATTCCCTTTAAGATCTTAAGTTCAGTCACTATTGTTTTCTACTATTTACTACATTTTGGCAGCAATTGTTTATTGGTCTGTCATTGCAGTAAATGCAACTTAACAATAAACCAGTCTGACATTTTAGGTCTTGAAGATACATACCATATATATTTCTTTAAAAATAATCATACTTTTGTAAGCAATACTTTACAGTAGACACCTCAAAAAATCTACCATAGATGTGAAACTTAAAACGAGAAAAATTTAAGTTCTAAATCTTTATACATATATATCCAGATTTCTATATATATTATATATACATACACAAGTATATATAAAATATATATAATCAGATTTGAAAAATGAACAAAAACCGGCACTGTACATAGTCTTTTTAAAACTCAAACAATAGAAAACTCTTTAAACATTAAACAATTTTAATAAAAGTTTCTGTACAATGCTAAGCAGTTTTATTTACACATAGAAAATGTAATAGGAGTAGTGTTTGAAATTACAGAACTCCTTAAAATTTCAATGGCAGGTAAATCTGGAAAAAATAACAGCATTCCATTCACAAATATTTTCAAGCAATAAATATGTATTTATAAATAGTGTAAATTTACATCAAGATTAGAAACAAAAATCACAAATCTGAAGTTTATTCCTTAGTCTATGTGCAATCCATTATCTTTGTGACTTGGCTGTTAATTTTTTTTAACGTTTTATTTAGGAACCAAAAGTGTAACCGTCATGGTTTCAAAACAAGACAGAAAAACATAAAAGCAGTAAAAAAGCTTCTTACCTATCTTTTCACATTAAAAAAAGAGTTGACCAAAGAAAGACTTAAAATTGCTAACTACCTTACAAAGAAATGACCAGCTAGGCTAGTATTTTTTCCAAGGAAAATTCTGAAGGAGGAAAAGATAGATGAAAACCAATTCATCAGCCCAGAAATAGAGAAATATAAAAGAGGTTGTCTTCAAGTCAGTAGTCTGTATGATGTTACCAGTTTTGTCAGATATATACAAAACATGGAAATTATTATTTATTTTTTCTAAGTACAGCTGGATCAGCTTTTTAAGAGTCCTGGAGTAGGAGCAGTGCTCTCCCCTGTCCAGTTGGTTGACACTCCGCACTTGGAAGGTTGCATAGACACAGTTTTCAGTCAGCAGCCTTACGAGATAGCTACAAAAACCAGTGGTGCAGAACTGGGTTACTTCCTGAATAGCAGAAAAGGTCTCATTTAATATCCATGAAATAATATCAAGAGGAAGAAGATGGTAATGGAGGAGCCTGAAAATGAGGATACAATATGTTAATTATTTTGGCACACAAGTTGTTAATATTATTTTCTAGTTCATAGAGTTAAAGCAATAGAGTTTACTAATAGAGTAAGGGGAAATAACCACTCGAGAAAATTAAACAGCCTTCTAACACAATGTAAAAGTACAACATCCCTCATGGTCTTCTAGCTGGTCAATTTCCCTAAGAGTGTGACACCACTACTCAACTCAGCATACCCACATTTTTCTGGACTTCACTCTTGGACCATTAGTTTAACCATTTCAAGTTTGTAGATTATTAAATTAGAATTTCAGCAGTGACTGGCTTCAGAATTTATTTCAGCTAGATTATATATTTTGCTTAACATACTTCACACAAAATCTTTTCCTTCAAGCAATCTGGAGGATAATTCAAGTGACTATACCAAGAACTAAATTTCAAAACTTACATTTCTGACCAGTAGTATGTATGAAAGAAAAGTATTGGGCAAAATCAACAATTCATCAATTCAATTCATAAAACTATTGATCTGCTAGAGTGAAATTCTTGGTCCTAAGCATCTGCTGTTTAAAACTAAAAACTAAGCAATTTTATAAGTATACTTGAATTTCATCAGTTACATGCCACAGAATATTCCCATAAGGTCAATACTTTTGACAAAGACAAAAATTGCAATTACCGCAGAATAATATTTAAATGCACATTTTATTTTTTTGAAGCATCTCTACTGAGGGAGTTTATTGTGCCAACCTGGCCGATAAACACATGTGGGGTTAATTGAAGGGTGGAGAGATAAATGGCTTGGGAAGCCTTGCCTTTCTAGTTCTCGGGGCTCTTGCTTTGTGATGGTCAAACCAGGGTGCAGCTGCCTTAGCCAGCTCTCTGCTTCAGCGGGCAAGGCTCACTTCCTGCAAGACATCCCCAAGGAGAAGCTGCATGGACCTACCCCGATGCAGCCCTGGGTGCTGGAGCACCCCGTGTGGAGACTCCTGCCAGCGCTGAGATGCGTACACATTCACTGACTCAGCTTTCCTCCTGCAGTCAACATCATAGTGTGTGTTTCGTGAGATGGAGGAGGACTTTGTGGATTGGTGTTGGACATGTGGGTTAATGTTGGATTTGTGGGCTTGGGCAGCACTGGGTTGGGATGTTTTCTCCATGTGCACTTACCCTTTATATAAAACTCTCTCTTATACATGAGTTTCTGTAGATTTGTTTTTCTAAAGTACCTAGACCAACACATCTACGAAACCAAAACCCATTGCAGTCAGACTAATTCCGATCCAGAGACAGAGCAGAATTGCCCCAGAAGGTTTCCAAGGCTACAATCTTTATGGAAGCAGACTGACACATCTTTTCCCCATGGAATGACTGGTGGATTTGAACCACCAACCTTTATAGTTAACAGCTAAGCCCTGTAACCATTGTGCCATCACACCAAAAACCAAACTTGCTGCCACTGAGTCAAGACTGACTCATAGTGGCCCCCAGTGAGTTTCCGAGACTGTTAACTATTTACAGGAGTAGAAAGTCCAGTCTTTTACCCATGGGGCTGCTGGTGTTTTCAAACTGCTAACTATGCAGATCGCAGCCCAACACATAACCTCTACACCACCAGGGATCCAGGGTTTCTAAATCATCCCTATAGTGGGCACAAGTAACAATATTTCAAAGATATAGTGTTATAAAAATAAATATTTACTTTTTGTGATTATTTAAAATTGTGGTATTTCGGCTGGACCCACCCAGAAAGACAAATGAAAATTATATATGCCGACTGTATGTGAATAAACACCTTGTGGCAGGGTGAGGTATAATCTCATGTATTTATCTAATGAATCTAAAAATCTAACTACTTCATTACCTTCTGCTATCAATTGGCAGCACAAACACTGCTGCTTCACAACCCAGCTAACCATGTACTCATATTTATTTTACTTACTAATGTAAATTGGTCATAGACATGCATCAGGTCCTCCATTTTGTACTGTTCTAGCACCACAAAATTTTCCAGGTTTCCACTTGTTTTTCGTGCACAATCTTGGCAATGCACTATGTAAGTCTTTCGAGAATTGCTCTCATTAGTGACAAAAAGCAGATCAAAAACCTCCACCTATTTTATACAAGAGAAAAAGCATTCAGTAAAGATGGTGATACCCTTTTAGTATAATTATAGAATTCTACTTTATACGGAACTGTGGATAATCTTTGGTTAGAAGCAGGTAGTAAGAAAAACATGGTTGTCCATAAACTACTAGGATAAGTGTTCAGTTATAAGTCTTATGCTAAGATTATGTGTACAACAAAAATTAACCTCTGAAATAGAGAATTTCAGGGTTTGGGGAATGAATCACCAATATCCTTACATTTGGTTTATGGTTGAATTTCTCCTATGACAAAAAAATCACTATCTACTGTCATATTTGAACAGTTATGTTAATGAAATTCCAGAGTTCACCATGTTTTCCATTATTAAGCAATGGGAAACAACAGGAATCTAGTGATCTGAGCTAGAAAATGATGAACTCTCTTCCACTTAACCCTCACGTCTACCATTTAATGAGTAGTTTTACTGATTTCACCTTCTAAGCATTTTCTAATTCTTTCCCTTCTTTGGTATATCTACTACTAGGTTACAGTCTAGGACTTAAGAGAACAACTCTTAAGTTAACACATGGCTTCAAATCTCTATATTCTCCAACTACTTACCCTAAAAAACAGTGTAGAACTTCCCCTGTGAGTTTCTGATACTAACTCTTCTCGGGAGTAGAAAACCCTGTCTTCCTCTCAGCAGTTAGTGGTTTCAATCTGCTGACCTTAAAATTAGTAGCCCAACACATAACCACTATACCACACCAACAGGGCTCCAGAAACACCTCTGAATAAGTATCAAATTCCTTAAAACCATTCAAAGTACTTTACAAATTCCTCAGCATCCTAGACTTGTAAGTCTAATTTGCATAGTCCCTGTTTCAGTCTGTTTTCTGAATACACCATTCTGTATTCCCACTCTCATTCTACTTCCATTTTTTAAAAAGCTTGTTCAAATCATAACCATCCTTTAAGGATGGACTCAAATGCCAATACTTTGTGAATTCTTCTGCCAATACTACAAAGAAAATTTAGATCATGTGCATTACAATAGTTTACACATTTTTGCTAAAAAAACCTAAGTTCCTCCAGAGCAGGCATCACATCATCTGTTCTCGTACTCCTTCAAAGTTTTGGCCACAGGAGAACATCAAATGCATTGTAAATTGAACTAGAGGCCGTAATGTTAATCTACCTTGGGCAACATTTAGTTTATCGAAATCTATGTCTGGATTGTCCCCAGTTTAAAAATCTCAGACTAAACTTCTTGATTATTATTTAATGACTAAGTAATAAGAAATTAACACAACTGAAGACATCAAGTAAAATGCTTTAGTTTCTCTTTAAATTTGATTTTAATTCACTTAAAAATAAGTTCAAAACATTAAAGACGTTTGTAGAAATAAGAGGGTTTATAAAATAATTGTCGGTAAGAATACTTACCTCACAGATGCTACAATAATGAGCTGGTTCTTCTTTTGTCCGCCCATGCCATATAATCTCTTTTCCTGCAGCAATGAGAGCTTCTCTCAATGTCTGACATTGTTTCAGAGTTCTCAGAAGACAATACCTATTGTGGGGGAAAAATTATTTGCAACCAGCAACTAAACATTGAGTATTTTTTAACATAAGAGAAATACAAGAAACGATAGTGACCTTATCAGTTCTAATGTCCACCACTTAATTTTTCTCTTGTCAATTTCCCAGATATGAAAAGATATAGCAGTGTTCAGAAGGTCTGAAGATAATACTTATATAAGCTGCTAATTGGCTCTTATTTGGGCAAGTCAATTAACCTCTTTGAGAATCAATTTAATTCATCCTTAAAATAAGAGAGGGGTGTCTGAATTCGTTTTTAACTTTTAATGTTTCTAGCAAGGATTAAAGGCATGTTATTTCTATCAGTACTACCTACACACTCACAAACAGTGTCATCTCTATTGCCGTTTTTGAATTTTTAAAAAGTCCACAAGCAGAAACCTATTTATGGAGTTTGTCTGTTACGTAAAAAATGAAAAAGTTCCTGCAGCATTGATTCTAATCCATGGCAAGCTCATGTGTGTCAGAATAAAATTGTGCTCCATACGGTTTTTAGTGGCTGATTTTCTGGAAGTAGGTTGCCAGGCCTTTCTTCCAAGACGTCTTTGGACGGAATGAAACTCTTAACTTTTCAGTTAGCAGTAAAGTACATTTACTGTTTGTACTACCCCCAAGGACTGTTAATACAGAATACAAAATTAGTTTAATTATAGTGTTAAAGAAGAAAAATGACATTATTTCCCTCATTTTAAATTGAATATAATATAATAGAAAGTTATAATGGTGCAATTAAAATTTTCTTATATTTAAACCTTTCCTAAACTCACACTTATGATGGTAACAACATAGTGCATTCTCATAGTGCATTCATTTTCCTATAGACTGCTGCCATTACTAAGAATTGTCTGCTAAATTCTTACTTCCTGACTGAATCTTAGAGGCCCAAGTTCTCCATCTAAACAAAGAGGTTGGACTAGGTCTCTAAGGTATTTTTCAGCTCTAAAATGTAGAGGCAATGAAAGTATCCTAAGGAAAAGGAAAAGGGTTTAGCAACTGAGTTATTTGAAAGGAATTGTCTGCCTACTTACTGCCTAGGACAATGCTTGTCATAATGGTAGGAATTAAATAAACATTTGATTACTAAACTAAAATTCAAAGTAAGTAATAGCATATTTACTTTCCCTAGATTTATGTTTTCTTGCTATTTGTAAATTATTAATTATAATATTACTATTTATCAGAATCCATGTGAACAGAATTGGGGTAGGGGTGCAATGAAAATATATTAAAAACTTATTAACAAACAAAAAATGCCAACTTTAAGGCAAATTTCTCATCTTATTAAATGATTTTCCTCTGTTTAGCTTTGTTCAATTCTTGCATGTTTAACTTATTTAAAAATAAAAAATAGTCATTTAGATTGTGACTCAATGTCAAAGCAAAGCCAGCAGTACAAGTACTGCTGCTCTGGTTCCAATCCATACACACATGCGTTTATCCCTAACAATATGAGTTTAAACATGTCTTTGTGACCAGTGGATGGCTGCAGCTAAGTTCTCTCAGTAATGTACTTGTCTTTTTAAAGTGCCTAAAAAATAAGTTGCACTAAGATGATAGCTCTGAAACCTCATCTTTCCATCCATCTTTTAAGCAAGATCAGAGCTAATGAAGATACTTTTATGAAACGAATAGTAACGAGGCTAAGAAAAATTATTTGAGGATAACACATATGATCTAGGGCACAAGGTCCATATCAAAACACAGAAAGATCTGCTGACTCAGTTAATTTCAAGGCAGAGAAGAGACCTGCCAACGGTTTATTAGGAAGAAATTTTTAAAAAATGGAAAACTGTTGGTGAGAAAAGGGCAGGAAATATTAACTAAGAAATTGTTTCCTATAACAATAATACAACTGCTCCTTCGTGGAGTATAGCAAAGGATGTCATACGAGAATTTGTTGGAAAACCTTACCACCCTGTCTCACCTTAAAACGTGACTCTGCCCCTTTAGATTTCTTCTGTCCCCAACACACAAAGCACATTACAAAGGAACATACCATATATACTCGCGTACAAGCCGAGTCTCCCCAGCACATTTTAAATGCAGTTTTTTGCATAAAATTAGGTGCCTCGGCTGATATTCAGGTCGGTTTATACTCGAGTATATGTGGTAACTTCAGTCCCTCAAGATGTCAAAACTGCAAAATCAAAGGGCAAAGTATTATTTAGGGAAGAGCAAAGTATTATTTAGGGAAGGGTTAAGGAGATGGAAACACTGCTTTGAGAAGTGTACAGACTTAGGTGGAGGATATGTTGACAAACAGCTTAACATTTTGGATACTATTGTTTTAACAAAGGTTTTAGAATTTTGTAGCAGTTCGTTTCGACTGACTTTCATGTGTTCACCAAGAAAGCTAGGCAAGTAAAAATTTAGTTCCTGGCAAAAAGGGGGCAATGTATTTCAAATTATGCCTTTACCTCTTGAGCAGTATCAGCTTCTTGAATGTCCCCTGTGTTCCATTTAATCTATCTTACTGAAGTTTTCTAAGTAGCTTCAAAATCAGGGGCTTAATTTAATTACTATTTATGTAAATGAAAAATTAAAAGATAAGCTAGGAGAATATCTTGGGAGCTACATATCCAACAATAATCAGATCATATAGTACAAAAACAGAAGCTGAAATATGGAGGGGAGACCCAAAGCACATCTGTAGACATCCCTCCTCACACAAGGGTTACAAAGAAGGGACAAGCCAGCCAGGGTGCAGTATAGCACTGATGAAACATACACCATTCCTTTGCTTCTTGAGCATGTACACTAGTACAGATAAGAGCTCTCGCCACAGGGAATCACACATAGAATCCAGGACAGATAAATCCCTCAGGAACAATAATGGGAGTACCGATACCATGAGGGTAGGGGGAAGGCAGGGGGTGAAACAGAAACATGGCTGAAGGGAGGCAGCAGATAGTATAAGTTCTGGAAATAATTTATCAAGGATTCATGAGAGTGGGAGGGTGAGGGTAGGAGGAAAAAAAATGAGCTGGTACCAAAGGCTCAAGTGGAAAGAAAATGTTTTGAAAAGGTTGATGGCAACATATGTACAAATATGCTTGACACAATGAATCCATAGATAGTTAAGAGAGCTGTAAGAGTCCCCAATAAAATGATTTATTCATACTTAAAAAAGCCAAAATAAATACAAAATTAAAATTTATTCATCAAAAGACTGACAAGTGAAAAGACAAGCTATCAACTGGGAGAATATCTCAAAAAACCATATATTTGATAATGATCTAACGATCAACTCATAGAAACAACTTAATAACCAAAGACAAATAACCCAATCATAAAATGGGCAAAGAGTTTCAACAGAAATTTGACCAAAGAGGATAGGCCACCAAACACAAGAAAAGATGTTTAATGTCACTAGCTAGCAAAGAGACGCAAATCTCCAAACCACAATGAAAAATCCCTTGACACCTATTAGGATTTAAGGCTGACAGGACCGAGAAGTGTTTCATTCTGTTGTACAAATACGGTCCATATGAGGTCAACGCAATTCAATGGTGCCTAACAACATGACTAAGACAAAAATAAAAAGCAACACATGTTGGTGAGAATGTGGGCAAAGTAGAAGGCTTATCCATTGAAGATGGAAATACCAAATAGTACAGCTGTTGTGAATAACAGTATGGTGCTACTTAAAAATAAAACAACTAAAAACATAATTACCAAACTACCTCTACTTTACAATTGAGAGAAGCTAAAATTGTCCCCAATCATAAAGACATTTAAGTGACTGAACTAAGGGTTTTTAAAGGCAGAATATTTTGAGCTTACCCTCACTATTTAACAATATACTCACTTCTCTCTGTCCATCTTATTCCTAACCACTTCCCCCTTCTTTTTCTCTTAAAAATGAACTTCAGGGGAGGGGAGGCTCAGTCAATACAATCTTTCCCTCCACCTGGGAAAGACACAGAGTCTTACTGCTTTGCATTATCTTCTACTCCCCTCAGGAAATGAATTTTCATAACTCTAAAGCTATTGACTACAATGGCAAAGTAAAAACAAAACTCACTGCCACCCAGTCACCTATGTCTCATATACCCTACAGGGCAGAGTAGAACGGGCTCTTCAAGTTTCCAAGGTTGTGAATCTTTCTCCTGTGGAGCAGCTAATGGGCTTAAACTGCTGACCTTTCAGCTAGCAGCCAAACATGTAATCTACTACATCACCAGGGATCCATGATAAAGAAAGAGTACAGCTTTTAATTTATGTTGGTGGTTTAATCTAGAAAAAAGGCAATATTTGCCTACAAGTAATCAATGGCTAGAGCTAGGGTTGCTAAGACTAAGCCATGAATCATGGTTCCAGAATTTTTAATTTGTGAGATACAAGAATCTTAAATTGACAGCTCTATTAATTTTATCTGACATGTATAACAAAATCATGGTTTTCACCTGGTCCACATGGTCCTCCCCACCCTTAAAGTTTTTGTTGCTTCCCATTTTCAGAAGGTAGAAGTTAGAGTAGAAGGAGAATTTAGAAAGACAAAAGGCCTTTATGGAACCCAGAGTAATGAGCCAGTCTAGAGAATGGATCTAATTCAATCAAAGGGCAGAGGAAAATGTACAGAATTTAAAGAAATTAAAAGA